AAAAAAATTGACAGTATCTTGCTATATAACCCAGGCTGTCCCTGGGTCCTCCACCTACTGCCTCTACTGGAATACTGTCATTAAAGGTTCATGCCTGGTGGACACATAAATATTTGTAATAATTAAAGACTTTCATTTTTGTTTTTGTTTTTTTAAGACAGGGTTTTACCCTTTAGTACCAGCTAGCCTGCAGTTGATACATAGACCATGCTGGACTCTGTCTAATAGAGATCACTTGCCTTTGCCTACCAAGTCCTGGGGTTAAGGACATGAGCCACCATGCCCAGCTTTAATGATATGACTTTTTAAAAAAATATTATTTTTATTTTATGTGTATGAGTGTATTGCCTGCATGTATGTGAGTGTACCCGTGTCATGCAATGCCACGGAGGTCAGAAGAGGGCTTCAGCTTCCCCTGGAACTGGGGATGGTTTGTAGCTGCCATGTGGGTGCTGGGAGTCGAACCTGGGTCCTTTGCAAGAGCAGTCAGTGCTCTTAACTGCTGAGCCATCTCTCCAGCCCCATGATATGACTTAAAAAAAAATTTATTTTATGTTTGAGTGTATTGCCTGCATATATGTAAGTGCACCTGTGTCGTGCAGTGCCAGCAGAAGTCAGAAGAGGATGTTGGATCCCCTGGAACTGGAGTTATGACAGTTGTTAGTCACCATATTGGTGCTGGGAATCGAATTGGGGTCCTTTGCAAGAGCAGCCAGTACTCTTAACTGCTGAGCCATCTCTCCGTCCCCAAGATACGGCTTTTTTTTTTTTTTTTTTTTTTTTTTTTTTTTTTTTGAGACAGGCTCCCTGTAGTCCCAGCTGACCTGAACTCACTATGTAGACCAGGCTGGCCTTGAACTCACAGTGATCCGCCTGCCTCTGCCTCCCAAGTGCTGGGATTAAAGGCATTCACCACCACGCCCAGCAAAATATGACTTTTTAAGGCAGGACTTCTTTTAGAAATTGGATTCTCCCATGTAAAATACTTAAAAATGGGGTTTTAGCTGGAAGATTTTGTAAGTGAATTGGTGATAAACATTTCTACATCTTGCTGTAACTTCCTTATTAGTCCTGATGCCTTTGGATTAGCAACAGATATATTCACTGACCTCATGAGGGAAAATGTCTTCATAATTCTGGGAAATGTGGTAATTTTTACTTAATTAAAAATATACACTTAAAAAATTTTGAAGCTGGGTGTGGTGGTGCATGCCTGTAGTCCCAGCACTTGGGAGGCAGAGGCAGGCAGATCTCTTGAGTTCTATGCCAGCCTGGTCTACGTAGTGAATTCTAGGACAGCTGGGGCTACAGGGAGACCCTGCTTCAAAAAAAAATTTTCTTTGAAGAGTAACTTGAGAAAAGCCAGTTTTCCTGGACAGTTCAGGTCAGTTATGAAAATTTATAAACAAATGGTTTACAGTTTAAAACAATGTGGCAAGTGGTCAGAGATCTTAAATGCTAGGTACTTTAATACTGATATATTTCAATTGAAATTTTTAGGCTGTTTCACTTTGACTATTGTCTGAAAAAGCAAGATTTATGAAAATTGATTGTGGTGATGTATTGTCAGTTATTTGGTATTTAATTGAAAGACAAGTTGATTCTCTGGATGGTTCCACATGGACATTTCCTACTACCCTACTTTATGTTTCATGAAGACTGTTACATAAATTATGAAAGTGTAAATTAAGCAAGCCTGTTAGAATTTTGCATTATATATGTGATCTATACTACTGAAAAAAGGAAACCCATATGCTTCTGTGCGGCAAAAATACTACTTTTCAAAGAGGGCAATACAAATAATCTTGACTTTATCAGATTTTGACTGAAAACAGGTCTTTGTCCCAAATTCTCAAGAATATTCCTTCTGGAAGGATAAAAATTCGTATGGTTTCCTAGAGATCTTGGGAAAATTAACTTTTTTTTATTTTGGTCTTTTTGAGACAGGGTCTCCCTGTAGCTCTAGCTGCCTAGACCTCACTGTGTAGACCAGGCTGGCCTCGAACTCACAGAGGATCTGCCTGCCTTTGCCTCCTGAGGGATGGTATTAAAGGCGTGTACCACCACACCCGGCAGGAAAATTAACTTTTAAGTGAGGAAGTCAGTGGTTATCTCCTATGGAAACCCTGTGAAAGTTTGGGTTGAGTAAATATACCTAACTACCATGTTATTCAGTATCTGAGTATATATGTGTGTTAAGGTGTGTACTTACAATTCTTTGTGTGAGTTATGCAAAAACAGCTGATTAAGACAATGCTAAAAATACAGGTTTTTTTTTTCTAGGCAGACTGTTACTACTATTAACAGTACATGTAGCACGTTTTTAGTACTTTAAGGTGGGCTTTTCCATTTAAAATGGGAAGAATAAACATTTCTGAGTGGTTAGCAAGGCTTGATTACTTGAGGGGAATTAGCTCTGAAGAGGCTTGAGCTGTGGAGAACTTTAAATTTTAGTACTGTACATCAACATTGCAAATGGAGATTTTAGGGCTTTTTTCTAAAACCTTTTAAATGTTTTATAACCTTAATAGGAATCAGTTCATAATTCTTTTGCTGACTCTTAAAATTTATCATTTCAGAACCACTCATGAGTTCCTGTTTGGTGCTCTTGCTGAACTGGTTGATAATGCAAGGTATGTAACTTTTAGCACATAGTCTGCTTAGAGTAGAAAATGTTTGGGTCATCATGACCATTGCTCACCAAAGACTTGAGAGAAAGACATATTTATTGTATTAGTTGCAACTCTTAAGAGATTTGTTAGCAAGAATTTTTTTTTTTTTTTTTTTTTTGAGACAGGATTTCACTATACAGCCCTGGCTGACCCGGAACTCACTATGTAAAGGGTGTTTTGAATTCAGAGCAATCCACCTGCCTCTGCCACCTAAGTGCAGGATTAAAGGCATGGATCACCATGCTTGGGCAAAAAGTATTTTTAATAGGACAGTAATTGATACTTTTTCTTGATTACCTTAAATTCATTCATTGCTCTTGGTGTTCTAGCGTAATAATAGTGACCAGCCAGGAGTGGTGGTGCACGCCTTTAATCCCAGCACTTGGGAGGCAGAGGCAGGCAGATCTCTGTGAGTTCAAGGCCAGCCTGGTCTACATAGTGAGTTCTAGGACAGCTGGGGCTACAGGGAGATTGTCTCAAAAAAACCAAAAAAAAAAAAAAAAAGTGACCTTTTCATCTCCAAACCATCCTCACTTATGTATTAGAGCATGGTTCTCTTATTGAACCTGAGGCTTGCAGATTCTGCTAGACTGGCTAGCCAGTAAGCATGAGAGATTCTCCTGTCGTCTTTCTCCAACTCCAGTACTGAAGTTACAAGTACGAACCCTCAGGCCTGGCTTCTACACAGGTGCTGGGAATCAGAACTCAGGCCCTCACACTTGCATGGCAGGCACATTACTGACAGCCGTCTCTCCATCCCAGAACATTTCACTTTATACATTAAAATGATCAAGTATTTGTTTCCCTCTTTTGTTTGACTGCAATCATGAAGATATTCCAGCATGTCTATTTTTCCTTCTCACTAAGATTTGAAAAAATAGAACCCACCACAGATGTGTGAAAAATTAAGTCTCATGGTATATACACTGTAGTGAGCAAACTAACTCCCAAGCCCACAATCTTATCCTCCCTAACCTTGAACAGAATCCCATTAGGTTCCAGAAATCAGCTGAAATCATGCAGGCCTAGAAGTCATTTAATTCAATTCTACCAGCTGCATTCAAGGAAACAAAGGCGCATTTTCATTGATTTTAAATCCCCCTCCCCAAAACCACATAGTTCTGGGACTAGAGATGTGTTGCAGAGCACAAACTCAGCATGTGCAAACCTCGGTTCAATCCCAGCACCAAAAACACAAAAGAAAAAATCTGTTTATGTACCTATTCTCAAAGATATGAAAATGTTTTAAAAAATGAGATGGGGCTGGGAGGCTGGGGATGCAGTTCAATTGATACAGTGCTTGCTTAGCATACAAAAAGTACTCGGTTCAATTCCCAGCATGAAACCGGGCATAGTAATACGGGCCTCAGAACCAAATAATCTCAATACTCAGGAGATATAGGCAAGAGAATCATGAATGCAAAGCTCATTCTTGACTACACAGCCAGCTTGAGCTACATAAAATTCTTAAAGTTACTTGCCATAGCAATAACACCATAGTCATGCTAAGTTAATAAACAGCAATTTCAAACATAATTCCATAAACTGAACAGAAAAATTATGGATCAATTCATAACTGGAGTGAAATAAATTGAAAGTGTTGTAGTTAAACAATGTGGTACCTAAGCACATTTCCATGAGCAGCCAAGCAGCATATAGTAAGTAATAATAAAAATTAGGTGTGGTAACACACATCTGTAACAACTGTAATCCCAACACTCAAGGGGCTGAGGGAGAAAGATCTCAAGTTTAAGGCCCGCTTCAGTTACATTCAGTGAGGCCCTGCCAGCAAGATGGCTCAGTGGTAAAGACACCTGCTGCCGCTGCCATGCCTAATGGCCTGAGTTTGCTCTCTTGAACTTACTTGATGGAAGGAGAGAACTCAGGTAAGTTGGCTTTGACCTCCACATGTGTTCATTGGCCACTTGCACCAACACACACACACAAATAGGTATAAAAAGAATGTGGAGAGCTATTTTTACTGTGAAATCAGTACTTAATATATCCGGGGGGCACTGGGCATGTAACTCTGTTGGTAGAACATGGTGTCTAACATGGATGAAATTCTAGGTTCCATCTCTAGCACTGTATAAACCAAGAATGGTGCATGCATGTAATCGCAGAACTCAGAAGGTGGAGGCAGGAGGATCAGAAGTTCAAGGTCATCCTTGGCTACGTAGCTAGCTTGAGGATACTGGAATAGATGAGAGGTCCTCTGTCATGTAATTGCCTTAATAATATGGAGGACTTGAAATGTTCCATAGATAGTGTCAGGAAAATTGTGTGGCCAAGTTTAAAAGCAAAACTTTATATATGTAGACTTTATTTGAACAATTCAAAATAGTATGCATTCCACTCAAAGTGCTGTCCATTTTGCTAATTGCTGTTTCTTGGTTTCTTTAATTTTGCAGAGATGCTGATGCCACCAGAATAGATATTTATGCTGGTAAGCCAGACTTTAGGCCTTTTTTCTCTTGTTCAGTTCTCTTAATGTACTTTTATTGGGCCCAAGAAGTGTATGGGAAATACTGGTTTTTGGAACTTGGAGATAGCACAATTTCTTCATGTCATAGAAAGAAACAGGGCAGCTCTGGTCAGGCATGTCAACCAGGAGATTTATGAGGGTGGTAGAACAGAGTAAAATGACCAATATTAGTCATCTTTCTGGAAAGAGATCGTTGGAATTTCTTCCTCAATACTCTTGATAGCAGCAGTCCCAGCCTGGAGAGTTGCTGGTATGAATCTTGGAAAACTGACTTACAGAGATGTTGAGAAGAAAAGAGGGCTTACCTGGCTTAGAATTGGAAGCTCTGATAGCCTTTACTGTTTTGTTTCATTGGCTCAGCTGTTAACATTTAAGATCCCCTTTTTCTTAGAGTGATGGTAATGTGGAGGAATTCTTAGTCATTATCATTGACTTTTTATTTTTTTTACATAGTTTTCTGCCTGTTCTGTACTTATAGCAGCACCTTTTTTGGTCATTTTAATAGTGAAATTTCAAAATGAAATAGAATAGAGTTCTTTTTTTAAATTTTTTAAAAATTTTATGTGTATGAGTGTATTGCCTGTATATAAGTAAGTGCACCTGTGTTGTGCAATGCCACAGAGGTCAGAAGAATGTTTAGGATTCCCCTGGAACTGGAGTTAAGAACTGTTCATAGCCACCCTCTGGATGCTGGGAATCGAACCTGGGTCTTCTGCAAGAGCAGTCAGTGCTCTCAACCGCTGAGCCATCTCTCCAGCCCTAGAATAGAGTTCTTAAATCAAATTTGGCTAATGTGATGTATTTTTCTGATGTTCTTTTCTGAAATCTTCTGCAGTTTTTACGTTGTAGTTTAAATAACATGCCTAACTTCTTCAAGTTTATATGGAATATAAAATTATAATCATTTTTATGGAATCACTTGATAAATGGGAATAAACACACAATTTAAGTAAGTAGTAATACTTCTTGGAACCTTTAGTATCCAGCAAGGAAATTAAACTTAGTTCTTGATACTCAGAGTGCAGGAAAGCTGGATTTTAATTTAAATAAAAAAAAAAAAAACAACAAAAAAACCTCTCCATGTTTGGTGTACCTCCTTTGCTTTGGGAAAAGTCCAGAGAGGATAAAATGAGGCCTTTGCTCTAAGAATTTAATATCTAATTGGAGAGGCAATTAGCAAACTACAAATGGTTACAGAAGGATAACTAGATCTTGAGGGAACAGTCAAGTCAGGAGTCAGGCACGTGGCACATACTTGTAGTCCCAGCACTTGAGAGGTAGAGGCAGGAAGATCAGGAATTCAAAGGCATCTCTCCTTGCTGCACAGTTAGTTCAAGGCCAGTCTAGGCTCCATGGCCTTTACTGTGTAGCCTCTTAACTCTCGTAAACTGTACAAAAAAAACTCACTTGACTTGGGTGTTGGGGGGAGGGCCATGTGTGTGGGTGCCCCTAGAGGCCAGAAGAAAGTGTCAGATTTTAGGCAGTTGTGAGCCACCCATTTTTGGGTTCTGGGAACCAAACTGGTCCTTCAAAGAGCAGTATACACTCTTAACTGCTGAGCCATCTCTCTAGCCCAATGAAAAAATGTTGAGATTAAATCAGAACTCACACCTACCTTTAAATGAATGATAACTGCTGAAACAGCATGAAAATCTTATCACAAGGGCCTAGAAAGTAACTTCTTAGGTATTGTTCAAGGAATTTCAGTCATCTTGCGGAATTTTCAGATGGCATTTGGCTAAAATCAATTTTCAGATCCCAAAGCAGAGTGTTGGTGTACATTTTGTAAAAGCATACAGCAAATATCTCTAGGCAAGAGTGTTGTCATTGTGCTATGAGCTGACCCAGTTTGATCTCCACATTATACTTTGCTTCTTAAAGATGGAAACTCAATGGGCTTTTTAATACCCAAACAACAGCAGCAAAACTTGTTCCTGCTGGCCACATTTCACTTGGATTTCCTAGATTCTGATAAAAGGTGCTACTGTAGGAAGAAATCTTCTCACCTGGCAGTAGTGCTTCCAGGAAGATTCTTGCCCTCCAGCTTTTAAGAGGCATTTGTAATGAATGTTCAGCTTCCTGAACATTGATACTTGAAAATCTCTGGTGTATAGTCCATTTGAAGTAGGATTTTTACATTAATTAGCAGAGGACAGTCATGACTCAAATTTTTAGCCTGGGGGGGCAGGCAAAAAGCATTTAAAAATGAGATTTGTCAGGATAGATAATTGTATAAAGTTAGTGAACTGCAGTTTTACCTCTTCTTTAGGAACTAGGTTCCAAAGCAGCTTGGCCTTATATTTTCTAACAGATTTCTTTCTTTTTAGTAGAAGTATTACTTTTATCTCTGTGTCAAGGGATGGACCATGAATAGCATCTATAGACTGGGCAGGTTGCTATTAATGGTTCCTTAATGCAGTTTGTTTGAATCCCCTGCTTCCACCTCTGCCTCACATTCTTCACTCTTTTGTACCTACATGTCTGATTCAAGTCTAGTTTGTCCCTTGTTCACCTAGCCCTCATTGAGTTAAAAGGCATCTTGAAAACTAATAGCCCTTTTTCCTATCTGGGAATCTTTTCTACTATTGCTACCTGCTGTGAGTTACCACTTGGTGCTGCATAAGACAGCTGCTAAGATAAGAAATTCTGGGACTGGAGAGAAAGTTCAGTGTTAAGAGCACTTGTTCTTGCAGAGGACCCAGGTTTGGTTCCCAGTACCCACATAGTGGCTAACAACCATCTGTAATTCCACTTCCAGGGGATCTAATGCCCTCTTCTGGCCTCCTTAGGCATTGTGTGCACTTGGCGTACTTACATGCAGGCAAAACACACATATAAAATAAAAATATATTTTAAAAAATTAGAGGCTAGAGAAATGGCTCGGTGGTTAAGAACACTGGCTGCTTTTTCAGAGAACCTGGGTTTGGTTCCCAGCACCCATATGGTGGCTAACAACTGCCTGTAATTCCAGTTTCCAGGGGATACAATACCCTCTTCTAGCCTTCATGAGCATTGTATGTATGTGGTACATTTGCATACATGCAGGCAAAACAGTCATACACATATAATTAAAAAATAAGATTACATCTTACACATTTCAAAGAAAATCTCCATTATAAAGTTATGTTTGAAAACTTTTTAAAATGATAAAAACTTTACTCACTGGAATGGCAGCCACAATCAGTTATGCTTCCTTCCTGTTGACCAGGAAGCCCTGCCACGGCTGCTTTGTACATAATTGTCAGAGAACTGTACTTCTGATCAGGCAGGTCTAGCCCAGAACCAGGCTCCTCTTGCTGTATCTTGTGTCATCTCACTTCCTTTCAAGGGCCTGTTGTCTACCAGGGAACATGACAATCCAGATAGCTTAGGCTCTAAAATTAGCATAGGGGCGATCATATGTCAACATAGTAATTTATCTTTTAGGTGGCAGCTGCCACCATTGTACCCATACCATATCTAACATCATCATTTTGAATGCAACCCCAGAGTTAAATCACAAAGAAAGGTAGGTATCCTGTTGAGTTTGAGCAGTTGATAAGGTATAGTGCATAATAGGCTGCTTAAATGACTTGGAGTCCATGGCATAGGGCCAATTTGATAGTAAGTCATGTAGAGAGAAGGATGATGATTGAGGTCTGCATCAGAAATATACATATTAAATGACTATGGGGTATGGTTAGATACTGGTCCCTTCTGATAGATTCTTTGAAGCTTTGTTGTTAACTAGAAAATACTGGAGAGGACTTCATGGGAATTCATACCCTTAAAATCCCTAAAGGGATCTTAGAAGAAGTTAGGTATAACCTATCTCTTTTGTTCTAAGTTTCACTTTGGTTCACTCTCTGTTCATACCCATGTTGTTACCCTGTAAGAAGGTAATAGCCTAGTAATAGTAGCTGCTTCTTTTATAGAAAGGCGGGAGGACCTTCGAGGAGGCTTTATGCTTTGCTTTTTGGATGATGGAGCAGGAATGGATCCGAGTAAGTGACCAGATGATTATATTTATTTTAAGGAGGGCATAACAATTTACTATTAAAGTTGGTATTCTGTTACCTCATTGTTGTGGCTAGAAGATCCACTTTGGGGAGTGAGAAACATGTTGCAATATCTTAGGCTTAATTCCGCTGTCCTTTTGTTGGGATTTGTCCAAACGTGGAAGATAGACTTTGAATGGCAACCTGAAGTCAGATACCTGTGTCTTGACATTATATTTACCAGCGTGCATGACATCCTGGAGTCAGAACTATGGAGGCTTCCCTCAAATTATTTACCATGTTCTGGTAATAGAGCACAGGGCACTGTGATGGTATTGATGGCCAGGCAAAGATTGCCTTCATATGCCTCATGACTGAATTTCCTTAGAGAGAGGTTTCACACATGCTTGTATTTAACATGACTCAGATCTTTGACTTTAAGGGGCCTGGGGAAAAAATCCTAAGTTTTCACTTTCTTTTATCTTCCACTTGAGGTGATGCTGCAAGTGTGATCCAGTTTGGGAAGTCAGCCAAGCGAACACCTGAGTCTACCCAGATTGGGCAGTATGGGAATGGGTTAAAATCGTAAGTATATTGGAAGCCTGTCATAGGGCCTAACACAAAATTACATGATGCTCTTGCTATCCATCCCCCAGCCCCCTGAACTGTAACTTTAAAGCAGTAGGAGAATGTACAAAATATTTTACTCTACAACTGTATCTCTCCTTTTACTGAAAATTATTTTTAGCCTGTGGTTGAGGATGTGAGTAGTTCCTTGTGGAGCTGGGATGTGTCTGAGATTGGCCATGGGTCACATCACAGTGTTATCAGTATGCTTTGTGCCAGTTACTTGGGATCCAAAGTAACAAGAGACGCAAGTTGTCCTTCCTGGAGTACATAGTATGTACATCCGGCAGTGCCCTATAGCAGGGCACACACCCAATATCTTCAGCTCTTGGGACCTCTCCCTCAGCCCTTGGTTCCCACTTGTGTAGTGCTTGGAATGTGTTGTTGGTTTTGAATGAAGCCCCAAGAGAAAGGTTTCTATTTCTGAAATGCTCACTTCCAGCTGTACATACCTTTGCATGGTGTAAGATTTAGTGGAATTGGAATTCGTGCAAATGGAATTATGAGTCATGTTCTAGTCTTGCTGTGGAAATGTGTTTTATTCGAGAAAGGGTGGTGGTTTGATCTGTCAACAGCTTTGATTGGGCCTCATGTGCATTGTGCCTTGAGTGTGAAGAAAGAAATCGGGAACCTGGTTCCTAGGCTTTGATTTCTCTCCTGGGCAGGAAACGAATGGCAATAATATGGACTTTACTATTGCTAGGTACTGTGCTAAAAAACTTCACACGGATGATCTCATTTAATCCTTAGTTTAGTACTATGATATATAGATATTGTCATTACCATTTTCAGATGAAGAAATTTGAGATGTATAGGAGTGATTTGCCTAAGGTGTAAAGGTGTTTATGTGAAGAGCTAGGAAGTCTTTCTAATTGCAAAGTGGGAGCTGTTCATTTCACTTTGGTCAGTCAGACTGGTTCAAAACTCACTGCAGCCATTTAGTCAATAAAGTGACTTCCTCTTGTAAATTGACATTATCATGCATACTTAGTAGTAGTTAAGGATTAAGTACTCTTACTGCTGTGAGAGTTCCTAGCCAGAGATCAGAGTGAATCACTTGGGAACCTTCCCCAGGAGATTCTAAAAAGGTAATCTAAATCCTGTAAAACTGGGGTACCCCTGGAGTCAGTGGAAACTCTTGATTTCTCAACTGAATTGTAGGTAGATCTCCCATCTGGTCCCATCTTTGTTTCCTAACTTAGAAAATGAGGTTCTCACTTCTAACATTTTCTCTCAGAGAGAGGGGGTTCAGGAGCAAATGAAATATGACTCTGAAAATGTGTAGGAGACTCAGAAGGAACTCGCGCAGAAGAGTGCAGATATTAACGTATTTAGGAGGCTTTTAGGACGGTCCCACTGATCTGGAGCCATCTAGTGTTCAAAGATCAGAAGTTGACTCAGTCTCTGGAAGGGGTGATTCCTGGTGCGAATAGGGTTGAGAAGCAAGGAAGCCAGCAGGTGTTTTCAAGTTCCTGCTATTCAGATCCTATGGTCAGGTCCTGGGTCAGATGTTTGAAGAGAAGTTGTGGTAAGTTAGAGTTAGGGTAGTTCTTTCTACAAGTTTCAGGGAAGAATTACTGTGAAACTGAAGGGGAAGGACCTCCTGGCCCCACCTTGATACTATAGGAGGAAAAGGAGATTTTGACTGCTCCCCTGGCCTCTGGAGTATCCTGAGTGTTTGGGAAAATGAGACCTGACTTTCGTTTGTGCTTGGCATGCCAGTCTGGCTTGTATTTGTACACAGAGTTAATGAGGCTTCCTACCTTTGTCATCCCCCCTGGGGGTGTTAGAAGGAGTAATGAGATAATAACTATAAAGCCCCAGAAGCTGCTCAGAAGGAGCTCAGCAGCCTCATTATTGAATGGTAGTCCTTCCCCCTGCAACTTCATACTTCTGTCCTGTCCTGTGCTGCCTTGAAAGGCCTGTCTCTGCCTGCTCCTGAGAAGGATTAACATGGCCAAATAGGAAGGAAGCCATTCATTCCATTCAGACTTGACAAATTTGTTTTCCTATGGTTCTAGGAATTGGACCCAGATACTTGTGCGTGCAAGTGGTCTACCACTAAACTATGTAACCCAGCCCTAAATTTTTGCCTTGTTGAAGTGAGCCTAAAGGCTCTATACCCAGCAGCTACTTCTGAAGTAAGGATCTGCCTTGTATTAGAATGAACTCGTGGTAGCAAGGCAATTCTGAGACAAGGAATGGTTGGCATTATTGGACATGGATACAGACCTTGTCAACAATCAAATTTGAGCTGGGCCCAGTGACATGGGAAAAAAAAATTAGCCTTTGTATTTTGCTGAGCCTTGTGTTTGTATTAGTTTTTCATTTTTAAAAAAATATTTTTGGGGGTTGGAGAGATTGCTCAGTGGTTAAGAACACTTAAGAACACTGGCTGTTCTTGCAGAAGACCTGGGTTCAATTCCCACCTCCCACTTGGCAGCTAACAACCATCTGTAACTCCAATTGAGGGAATCTGACACCCTCTTCTGATCTCTGCAGGCTTTGCAACACATGAGTACACTTACATACATGCAGGCAATACACTCATACACATAAAAATTAAAATAAGGGGCTGGAGAGATGGCTTACCAGATAACAACACTGACTGTTCTTGCAAAAGACCCAGGTTTGAATCCCAGCACCCACATGGCAGCCAACAACTGTCCATAACTCTAGTTCCAGGGGATCTGACAGTCTCTTCTGTCCTCCGCGGGCATTGCACAACATGGGTGCACTTACCTACATGTAGGCATACACATAAAATTTTTAAAAAATTAAAATTAAAAAAATTTTGATTGATTTTTGTTATGTGTATGTTTTGCCTGAATGTATGTAAGTGTACCAATGTTGTACAGTGCTTGCAAAGACCAGAAGAGGATGTTGGATCCCCTGGAACTGGAATTACAGATGGTTGTTGGCCATCGTGTGTGCTGGGAACCAAACCTGGCTCCTCTGCAAGTGGTAAACTGCTGAGCTATCTATCCAGCCCCACTGGTTTTTGAAGAACTTGTGAGGCTAGGCATTGGACTCCTCCCTTGATGGTGTTGCCATTTGATGAGTGGATAGAACGGGAATTTGTGTTGGTGAAAAAAGGACAAGATGGGAACTATCTGTGGCCCAAATAGTAGATGACTTGTTGCAGGTGTCAGTGCTGGAGTGCAATTTGATGGTGCCACAGAGGATGCCATCAATCTGGAGCTTAAGCAGAGTTACTTGTTAAGGTTATGGCAGTAAGCTGGGAGTGAGACTAACCTGGGGCTTATGGTCTGCAGTGAATATACCCTAGAAGGATGGCGATGGTGAGAGAACCTTGTATGGGAGGTAAGTTTGCTCAATGAGGTTATAGGTAAGGAATTGGAGACCATTAGAAAGGCATAGCAAGGCGTGTTGGCTGAGTGGAAAGGGAACATGGAACTCATCTGAGGGCCTGGGGCCTTGGAGAGCCCTCCATACATTTTCATGTTATGCCCAGAGGTCTTTTTCAGATGACTTTGAATCTTTGGGAGAATAACTCATTTTTTGTTTTCCTTTCAGGGGTTCAATGCGCATTGGAAAGGATTTTATCCTCTTTACAAAAAAGGAAGACACCATGACCTGCCTCTTCCTATCTCGAACCTTTCATGAGGAAGAAGGCATTGATGAAGTAGGTCCCATCCTTGTAGCCTGAATTGCCACTTCATATTTCCTCTGTTTGCCCAGGCTGTCTTCAGTTCTGAGCTCCCTGGAGTTGTAGGATTGGAGCATATGCCTGCTATTATAGAATTAGATGGGTAGATGTATTGGTTGGAGGGTGGTAAGGCAGGTGATAACCTTAATTTGAGAGGAAATCTCAAGGCACTTCAGACAACAGCTGTTCTGTTTCTGTGAATGAGTCTATAAAATGACAAGAATTGAGAGTTGGGTTTGCAGCTTCTCCAGATCTGCAAGATCCCCCCGTTCTTCTGTGGCGGGTGTACCATGAAGAACTGTGTTACTGTGGGTGGGGGTGGGGTGCGTATTTTGACTTTACCTGATTGGAAATCAAAGCTGGTAGTAATAGTAGAACTCCGGTGTCTTTCCCAAATGGTAATTTTGTGGAGTGTACTATGAGCATGTTTTTTTCCTTTTGAGGAATGTGTTGCTCTAACTATATCAGAAGTAAATTAAATGCTTAACCAGGCAGATGGTGAAGTGATGAGTATATGGAAAACATCATTGTTAAGGGCAGCTGCTACCTAGTCTCACTTTGAGAACAGCAGTTACCTTGCCCCAATGATTATTACTATCCATAATACTCTTTTAAAAACTGGTAATTAAAGCTGTGTAAGCTAAACACATACCTAGCTGATTCTTTTTGTAGTCTTGTGTCTTTGATATCTGAAGAACTGTTTCTTGATGGGGGATTAGGGAAGGTCTGTCCAGCCATGAGCAGTAGAGGCCAGAGCCTGAGATGTTGTATAGAAAGAAATTCCTAGCTGTCACATAAGCAGATGGTCAAATTGAAAATTTCAATACAATTCCTCTCTGTTGGTTAGCAGTGATTGAATTTGTTGAAATCTGAGCCTCAATTCATTACAAACTAGTTCACATTGGGAATGGAAATCTCTACCATTTTTATTTGGCAAGCCAGTGGATTTGTTCACCCATTGGATATAGTATGTTGCCTCCTTCAGCATATTTGGAGCGAGAGATAACACTGCAGCTATAAAAGAGCAAACTGCTAGGAGAACAGGATAGGAAAACTTAGTTTTGGCCGAAGTATTCAGAAATCTTGTCTGGTGAAGGACTCTGAGTCAGTGGAAACACCCCCCTCGAGCTCCTGAGTTTGGGACTGGAGAGAGAGGTAGCCTCTGGAGAGCAGGGCTTAATCAGGTTGGGTTCGACCTGAGGGCTTGTTGAGTGAATGGGATTTTAAGCAAGTATATGCTAGTATCAGGTTCTGTTTACAAAAGTCAGTGTGGTTGTTTTGCAGTGTTTGGATTAGAAAAATTGGGAGTGTTGGAATAGACCAGTTGAGAGGCCCAGGCTATTAATAGCCTAGTAGGACTCAAAGCAGAGAAGTGAGAGACAGAGCTGTTATCTTTTTAGCGTGTGAGACCCATAGATACAGTAACTGATCATTGGAGGGGGAAGAGGGAAGAGAAGGGGTTGAGATTTACAGGTTCTTGTGTGGCAGTTGGAGGTAATGTGCCATCTAGAGCTGGGGAAGAATGGAAGAGGGACACTATGGAGGGAGGAGAGTATAAGTTTACTTTGGGAATGCAAGCGAAGTCTTTGGAGTTTCAGGGTGATCTTAGCTGTAAGGTTTTTTGTTTGTTCATTTGTTTTTTTCTTCTAGTACTAGGGGGTCGAACTCAGGGCCATAGACATGCTAGGCAAGTACTCTTGCCACTAAGCTACATTCCTAGCCCTAGGCTCTGGAATTGTTGGTAGGAGATAAGATCACTTTAAAGACGAGAGTGGAGCAAGAAGAGGAGCTGAGACCTAGTCAGGCCAACATTGAAAGATCAGGAGGAGAATAAGTGGCAAAAGACACCAGAGAGGCAGTCAGAAAGGTCGGAGGAAAACCCGGAAAGTGGTGGCATTGAAGCTGAAGCAGAAATGCCAAATAGGAGTGATGTTTGCTAGTGAAAGTTAGTACCCAAAGTTTAAAGTGATGCCATCCTCACCTAGGACTGCTTAAAAATGGAAGATATAGAATAAAGATACAAGTTCACAAAACACAAATGGAACTTGATTCCCCTGGTAGAAAAGCTAGGTTGGAATTTTTCCCTTACTTGGTGCTAGAAGGTCACTGTTTTGGATTGTGCTCTAGTGTGAACTCTGCCAAGATTTCAAAATAAGATCATTTTCAGCCCAGGAGGAATGTGTCCAAACCAGCCCTATGGTTGGATGCTTTCAGCATGAAGCTTCTTAGAAACTAGCAATGTTAGAACTTGAAGCAGTTTATCACCCAGGTACGTGTTAAGATACAGAGTTCCTTTGTCTTATGTGGGGGGCCATCTGGTTTGAGCCTGTGAGGTGCTTCAGTTGGTTTGCTGCACTGAACGAATCCTTTTCACCAGACCTCTGCTGGGCTCTACAAGGGCTGCTGGCTCCAGGCAAGGAATAAGGCACCATAAAGCCACTGGAAAAGTGGTGCTTGAGATAATTTTTTGAAGAAAAAAGAGTTTTAAAAATAGTATTTCTGGGGCTGGAGAGATGGCTCAGCAGTTAAGAGCACTGGCTGCTCTTGCAGAGGTTTGATTCCTAGCACCCACATGGTGGCTAACAACCATCTGTAACTCCAGTTCTGGGTGATCCAGTGCCCTCTTCTGGCGTTTTCAGTGTTTGTATGATATGAGTGTATTTGCATACATGCAGACAGTAGTACACTTACACACATAAAAAATTAAAAAATTTTTTTTTAAAAAACAGTATTACTTAGACATAAAATCAAATTTCACATACTTTGAGGAATTATTGCAGTGTGTACTTGAGAGGATAATTATAAAGCAAACAGTGATGCAGCCACTACTATAAACCAATATTAGAAGTCTCCTATGAGCCCCTTAGTTTAGTTTTGTACACATGGACTCACACTGTAGAAATTCAAGTAACATTGTGTTTGTAAAATTCATCCATGTTGATGCTAGTAGCTATGTATTTGTTCATGTTTATCACCAGGTAGTATTTCCGTTTAGCCACTCCCGTAGATATTTGAATTATTCCTATATGTGGTACTGGTATATGTATACAAACGTTATTTTCTAGGTATTTACCCAGGAGTAGAATTGCTAAGTTGCAGGTTTTATATTTTGTATCTTTAGATTCGCTAGATAATTGCAAATGTATTTTCCCTAGTGATACCGGTAGAATTTTTACCATATTAATGTTATGGCCAAAGGTGTTCCAAACAGGTATAGAGACCTCTGGGGCATAAACCAGCCCAACAATGTATGAGTTTTGGGAAGGACCAGAGCTGCAGAATCTCTGGTGCTGGTTTGCACAACTTAGGCCTCAGCTCTAGACAGCCTGCGACTATTGAAAAGACAAGATAGTTGCACATTTGGGGGACAGTAGCTCATAGCATCTTTCTATGCTTACCCCGAAGGTGATAGTCCCTTTGCCTACCTGGCATGCTCGGACGCGGGAACCTGTCACAGACAACATAGAGAAGTTTGCCATTGAGACAGAGCTCATTTACAAGTATTCTCCCTTCCACTCTGAAGAGGAAGTGATGACCCAATTCATGAAGATTCCTGGGAATAGTGGTGAGTATGCTTCGGACTAGAGAATCTGGGAGCTCCAGAGCCACTAGTGATGTTGGGGGTGAGCCAGGGGTGACAGGCAGAGAGAAAGGATTTCTATTCCCCCAGGAACACTGGTGATCATCTTTAATCTCAAGCTCATGGACAATGGAGAGCCTGAACTAGACATAATCTCAAATCCAAAAGACATCCAGATGGCAGAGACTTCCCCAGAGGGCACGTGAGTGGGGTGGGGAAGGGTGGCAGGTCCTGGAAATGGTCTTTTTTCCCTCAGGAAATGACTTTAGGGAAAGCGGGAAAAAGCTCCTTCCTTGAATTTCTCTTGGTGGCAGTATTAGAGTTTATAGAACTGAGAGCTCATATCTGCTTAACAGCAGGACAGTGGCTCCTCAGTCACGCTAAAAAGAAAAGATTAATAAATCATCTATTCCAACTCTTTGATTTGACAGAAGGCCAGAGGAGGGGGGTTGCACAGGAGTCCCTGTAAGGGCAGTAGTAGGGCCACGTGAGGTATCTATGGGGCACCTGTGCTAGGGATATGACAGGGCAGGATGGAGTATCCATGATGAGAGGCCATCCTGTCAGAGTGGCATGAGAAGCCAGGATGTGAGGTAGAAAAGTGAGGGCCTGCAGAGAGGCAGTCATATCCTTGGTTGGTATTGTTGTGGGGTGAGTGACAGTACTTCTCAGTTCTTGCTGCCTCCAGGAAGCCAGAACGGCACTCCTTCCGTGCCTATGCTGCCGTGCTTTATATTGATCCCAGGATGAGGATCTTCATCCATGGGCATAAGGTGCAGACCAAGCGACTCTCCTGTTGCCTGTATAAGCCCAGGTAAGTAAGTCCCTAGCTACCCTGCTCTGGGCTGAGAAATGAGACCTGACCACATTTCTGTGGGGTAGTGCAGTATGAGGGGCTCTGACACTGCTGATTGTACCTGTTTACCAGAGAATCACTTCTCTGGGAGGGACAGATGTGACTGGCTATGGAGTTGGTTCCCCAAGCCTGATGAGGGAAGTGCCTTCGGAGATACGAAGAGTAGCACAGTGATGTGTCTTGTCTCAAGTTCAAGGACCTAAACACCCTTCACAGGAAAGTAAAGCCCTGGCTAATTACTGAGGTTGTTTCTGCTGTGAGATTAATGACACCCTTCTGAACATCAAAACAGAGCAGGAGACCCAGGGACAAATGGAGTAAGGAATAATTTTGCTTAAAAAAAAGCTTGGGTTTGTTTGATCACAAGGAGCCAGGGCAACACAGCATGGGAGGAGGCCAGAAAACAGGGTGCTTTCTGAACTCAAATTGGCTGCCTACTCCACTGTGGCTAGCCTTCAGGTTACTTTTTCCACTGTGCAGGATGTACAAGTACACATCAAGCCGTTTCAAGACCCGAGCAGAACAAGAGGTGAAGAAAGCAGAGCATGTAGCACGGATTGGTAAGCTACTCCCTGTGCTAGGAGGATGGATTGTTGGGTACTGCTTATAGCCAAAGCCTGGGCAAGACTGTTCTCCTGATGCTGTTCTCCTGACTCTGATACAGTCCCTCTCCAGTTCTCCCCATATCCAACCTCCTCAGCCCTTTTTTCTCTAGACTTGACTTTCCTTCCTAGGCCTTTATTTAGGGCTGGGAGTATAACCCAGTGGTCTAACACATAATTCTAGAGCATTATTTAAAATAGTTGTCAACTCTTTGGCTTGACCAGATTGAAATATCTCATACTGCCTCTGGTCCAAATACTTGGGAAACTGTTTTCTTGACTCTAGGGTAGACATTTCAAGGTCTCTTCCCAGAAACAACCAGGGTTTCTCAGCTGTTTGATGAGAGTGGTTTTTTTTTTTGGGTCGGGGGGGTCTTTTTGAGACAGGGTCTCCCTATAGCTCCAGCTGGCCTGGAACTCACTATGTAGATCAGGCTGGCCTCAAACTCACAAAGATCTGCCTGCCTCTCCCTCCCAAGTGCTGGGATTAAAGGCGTTCACCACCATGCCTGGCTAGAGAATGATTGTTTAAAAGAGTTCTTCAGCCTCCCACTAATGCTGAAAGTTTAATTCCCATTGCCTTTGATTTTTTTTTTTTTTGACTGTTTGAATTAATTTGTGAAGCTTTTGTGTCAGGGCCAGGTTTGGTGGTCACATCTTTAATTCCAGCACTCAGGAGGCAGAAGCAGGTGAATCTCTGTGAGATGAGGCCAGCCTAGTCTACGTAGCCAGTTCCAGGCCAGCTGGGACTACAGGGAGACCCTGTCTAAGAATAAGCATGTATGTGTCAGGTGTAATTAATGTCTGCTTTCTTTGGGGTTGTCATGACTCCTCTTCTTCTTCCTCTTTTTCTTCTTTTTTTTGAGATAGACTTAACTATGTAGCCCATGCTGACCTTGAACTCAAAGACCCTCCTGCCACAGCCTCCAAAGTATTAGGTTGATAAGTTTGTACCATCTTGTCCCTGACAGTTTTGAATGTGAGGTTTTCTCTTCTCTTCTGATGAAACTCTGCAGTCCAGCCTGGAGGCTGCTTCCATGTGACCTACCATCGTTGCTCCCCTAGTTGGTCTTTTCCTTGCTGATACACACTTCTTGTGCAACAGGGACTACTCTGTGAATCAAGGAAGGATGGCAGAGTTTTGAACCTTTGAATTCTTTATCATGATTTCTTCCCGGTTTTAGCTGAAGAGAAGGCCCGGGAGGCAGAGAGCAAAGCTCGAACATTAGAAGTACGCATGGGTGGAGACCTTACCCGGGACTCTAGGGTAAGTCCTCAGGCTCATGCTCTATTTTCTCTTTCTCTTTCTTTCTTTCTTTCTTTCTTTCTTTCTTTCTTTCTTTCTTTCTTTCTTTCTTTCTTTCTCTCTCTCTCTCTTTCTTTCTCTCTTTCTCTTTCTCTCTTTCTTTCTCTTTCTCTCTCTCTCTTTTCTTTCTTTCTTTCTTTCTTTCTTTCTCTTTCTTTCTTTTCTTTCCCTTTCTGTCCCTTCCTTCCTTCCGTCCTTCCTTCCTTCCATCCTTCCATCCATCCTTCCTTTCTTTCTTTTTCTTTCTTTCTCTTTCTTTCTTTCTTTCTTTCTTTCTTTCTTTCTTTCTTTCTTTCATTCAATAATTTATTGAGAACTTCATACATGCATATAAGGTGTTTTGATCAAATTCATAAATCCATGCCCACTCCCTCCCCTCCAACTCTTCCCATATCTCCCCATCACCTTTTTCTGATAACTTCATGTACTCTGATAACCTCATGTACTTCTTTCTTCTTTGACTTTTTTTTTAAATGGGGCTTTTGGCTACTCTTAACATTCCCCCTTCTGAAGAAGAAGAAATCTTTTAAAGATTAGATAAAAGCTCCCAAATATTTTGACATTTTTGGCCTTTGGAACAGAGTAGGTTGCTAAGAGGCCTAAGGACACTGAGTTTTAGCCAAGAAACTGGCTACTTTTCTTTAGGGTCTTTTTACCCTAACTGCCTAGCCAATTCCTACCTCCTATTCTTATCACACCATCCTCTGAAGAGGTTACCCAAATTGCTAACAGGGAATCGGGACTCAGACCACTCTGGCTTCTTTGCATGCTGAACAGGGATGCAGGGTGAGGCAATGGGAGTACCCCTTCAGTGGGTCTATCTAAAAGACTCCCAAATTGTATAACTCTTACCTCAAGGAGGAAAAGAAAGTCTTTGAATTGTGAATAGGAGATGTGAAGGAAAAGTAAAGACAAGGGTAATTAGCGTTACAATTTCTAGACAGGGAACTAGAAAAAATCAGAACAGGGCAATTTTCAAATGTTCATATTAGAGTCCATTAGAATTTCTTGACAAGGGCTTCCAAAAGCATCCCTCTGTTGGTTTCTTCCTCATTTTTCTTTTATCGTCCAAGGCTGGACTCTAGAGTGATGGATTCAGGATTTGCTTTGAGGTATTTTGATAGCTATTGGAGTGGTTAGAATCAGTGTCAGTTCCCTCTCAAAGGCTTCTGGATAGGGGGAGAAAACATACTTATCCAGCATTTTAGAACATCATGCTCTATTTTCTAGCATTTATGGCTTTAGGCTCCAGTATCATATGAGTTTAGTAACTTTTAAGTTTGTCCCCTGCCCTGTAAGATCAGTTTTCTGTGGAAAGAAGGAAATCTCCAGATGTGGTTTGGCATCCAAATCTCGCACTATTACTTACTGTGAAAAAGAGTACTTCTCCCCTCACTTTGCTCATACACACGTCCAGGTGCTGTTGCGGCAGGTCCAGAATACAGCCATAACCCTGCGTAGAGAAGCTGATGTCAAGAAAAGGATCAAGGATGCCAAGCAACGGTTAGTACTTGGACTGCCCTTTTGGTCTTTTAAAATGATGTAGCTTTTAGGGGCCAGAGAGATGCTCAGTAGTTAAAAGTGCTTGCTGTTCTTGCAGAGGACCCAGGTTCAGTTCCCAGCACCCACATGGCGACTAACAACCATCAGTAACTCCAGTTCCAGGGGATCCAGTGTCCTCTTCTGGCCTCCTTGGGCATTAACATGCATGTGGTGCACTATATACATGCAGGCAAAAACACTAATACACATAAAAATAAATTTTAGGGGGTTGGAGAGATGGCTCAGTGGTTAAGAGCACTGACTGATCTTGCAGAGGACCTAGGTTCAATTCCCAGCACCCACATGGTGTCTATAACAACCCTTTATAACTCCAGTTCCAGGAGACCCAATGCCCTCTTCTGGCCTCTGTGTGCATTGCATGACATGGGTGCAAATATTTACACACATGCAGGCAATACACTCATACACATAAAATTAAAAAAAAAAATTATATAGCTTCTGTGCTGACAAGTTGCCATTTTGACACCAAATTTACTTTGAGAAAACCATCTCCTGTGATTCCAATTATTTGCCAGGTAGAGGTCTTACCTCTGACTCTTAGCTGTCCTGATCCTCAGAAGGCAGGGCAGGGTTGATATCTCAAACACCAAACTCTCTTCACCAGCACTGTTGTCCCGTTTTTCTTCTTGATGTTTCTGTCAAGGTTGTACAAAATGCTCATTGTGTAAAACTTGAAAAATACAGAACATTTAAGTAATAAAAATATAAAGATTGCTTATGCTTCTGAAAATATGTATTCTTAATTCTTAATTTGTTTATAGTTTATTCTCTTTATGTTTTTATTTAGAATGTATATTGTTTTAGGTCATTAAATCATATGGTTCTTGATCCCATCTCTGTGTAGAGCCTCTCAGGCTCTGTCTGGGGCATAAATTCTAACTTTCCCTCCTGGCCACAAGCAGAAGGTTCAGGTTAAGTTGTTCCATTGCTCATCCATTTGCTTTTTGGAGCTCAACATTTTGTTGACATTTAATCATATGATTATCTTTCATATATTCTTGTAAATAATATTTTTTATTTTATTGTGAATTAAATTTTTTATTGTTACATCTGTGGAGTTTTGGAAAAGGTATGAATTCTTCCATGTAACTCTTTTGCAGCAGCTTCTTAGTAACCCATTTATACTTAAATCTACCTCTGTTATCAAAAAAAAAAACCAGAATTATATGTTTATAATTAGGGAAACAGAGTCACTGCATAGTTCACATCCTTATCAAGGCTTATAGATCACACATTGAATGTTTAGCATGTCTCAAATTTAAGCCTAACACATCTTTATCACTATGATGTTGTACTAATGAGTAAATCTGTCTGTTTTGGTTTTTTTTTGGTCTTTCTTAGAGCACTCAAAGAACCCAAGGAACTGAATTTTGTTTTTGGGGTCAACATTGAACACCGGGACCTAGATGGCATGTTCATCTACAACTGTAGTCGCCTAATCAAGATGTATGAAAAAGTAGGCCCACAGCTAGAAGGGGGCATGTGAGTATTACCCAAGTTGACTTTTACAGCCCAAGGTAAATGGCATGAGGGTTTTAGCCAGTGAGGTGATGACAGCTGTGACCTCTTTGTCTTTGCAGGGCATGTGGTGGAGTTGTTGGGGTTGTTGATGTGCCCTACCTGGTCCTGGAGCCTACACACAACAAGCAGGACTTTGCTGATGCCAAGGAGTATCGCCATTTGCTGAGAGCAATGGGGGAACACCTGGCACAGTACTGGAAGGACATCGCCATTGGTAATGGGGACAGGCCACTAGACCTTGGTCCTTTCTCACTTTTTAATAACCAGCCTTACTATGCTTTTATAGCCTGAGAGGGTGAATTTAGTTAGGAAGAGGATGAGGCTTGCTTCAATGTAATATGTGGGCATTTACTTTCTAGCCCAGCGTGGAATCATCAAGTTCTGGGATGAGTTTGGCTACCTTTCTGCCAACTGGAACCAGCCCCCATCTAGTGAACTGCGTTTTAAACGCCGAAGGGCTATGGAAATCCCGACCACTATCCAGTGTGGTGAGTTGAGTGATGGGAACTCTTTTTCTGACTCCTTTCCATTATGACCCTCTTCTCTTTATCCTCATGCTGGCCTTCTGAGTTTGCTAACATTCCTGGACTTTGGTTCCACCAGGGATATGAGTCTGTTTGACAGTGGCTCTGTGAGACCACCAGTTTCTTTTGTCCCTCTTGAATGAGGTAGACAGTCACCTTACCTCACAGACACTTCATTCTACAGCTGGGCTAGGCTCAGTATATTTGGTGCAATACTGTTTCAAGTATGAGTGATAGAGCCTAGATCCTATGATAGGAGGGAGAAGGGCTAGGGACATTAAGATTCCAGAATATTAAGGTTTTATCCTGGAATCACTGTACACAGGAGAATTACTGTTCTATAATAATAGGCTAAGTTAAGAGTAAAAGGAAAAATCTGATATTGAAAGCCCAGGGCATCTTTGCCTTGGGCCTACCTGTAAGGATCCTGGATTCTAGATATTGTTGATAGGTATGACTGACATGTTCTTGGTGGTGGTGGTGGTGGTGGTGGTGAATTGTTTCCTGTGTTGCAGATTTGTGTCTGAAATGGAGGACCCTCCCCTTCCAGCTAAGTTCAGTAGAAAAAGATTACCCTGACACCTGGGTTTGCTCCATGAATCCTGATCCTGAGCAGGACCGGTAAGCCTTTCTCTAATTGGGGTTTTTGTTGCAATTTCCTTTTTGTTGTTGTGATAAAAACTATAACCAAAAGCAACTTAGGGGAAGAAAAGATTTGGCTAACATTTCCAAGTCATAGTCTATCATTGAGGGATGTCAGGACAGGAACTCAAGCAGAAACTTGAAGCAGAAACCATGGAGGAATCCTGCTTGCTGGCTCACTCACTCAGGCTCATGCTTGGCTAGCTTTTTTATAGAGCCCAAGATCACCTGCTTAGTTCATAGTTGGCAGGCCCTCCTATATCAGTTAATAATCAAGACAGTCTCCCACAGACATGCTCACAAGCCAGTCTGATCTAGGCTTTCCTCAGTCAAGGCTTTCCTGTGATATGACTATAAGCTGTGTGAAGTTGACAGTTAAAGCTAGCTAGGACAATCCCTATGTCTCCTTCTCACTGTTCCCTCGTCAGTAATTAGTCCCTCCCTCCCTTGGCCCCAGCTGGCCTGAAACTCACTATTTAGACTATGCTGGCCTTGATCTCATAGAGATCCGCCTACCTCTGCCTCCCGAGTTGCTGGAAATAATGCCCAGCAGTAACTATTTCTTGGGTCATATCTTCACATATCTGGATGCTGCCTGTAATATGTGTCCAAGAAGGAAGAACATAATTGTCCTGTAACATATGCCACTTTCATACATTGGAGGCTCCTGAGGTGGTTTCAGAACAGCAGGGTTGGATGAGGAGGAGGTCTCTGCCCTGTTGGAACCCTGTTTTGTCATGGTCTTTTCTCTACAGCTGTGAGGCTTCTGAACAGAAGCAGAAGGTTCCCCTGGGGACATTAAAAAAAGACTTGAAAACACAGGAGGAAAAGCAGAAGCAGCTGACAGAGAAAATTCGCCAGCAGCAAGAGAAACTGGAGGCCCTTCAGGTACGTGGGTCATGGGCAATGGGTTGTGTCAGCAATCCCAGGATGGGAACCTTCAGTGGCTTTCCTGTCTCCTTCACTTACCCTGTGTTTCCACAAGGTTTCCAAATCCCAAATTCTAGGTCCAGGTACTTTTTCGAGTGTACCTTGCTTATTTTTTGGATAAGAAACTTCTGTTTATGTACTCCAAAGTGGCTCAGTTTATTTAGAATGTATATGAACTCCAAAAAATAAATAAGAAATCAAGTAGCTTTTCAACTGTTCTATTTATTATTCTTTTGTTCCTAGGATTTTGTATGTGGTAGGCAAGCACTACCACTGAGCTATATCCCAAACTTCTTTTTTACTTTTTTTTGGTTTTGAAATAGGATCTCACTAAGTTGTTCAGGCTGGTCTTGAACTCCAGATCTTCTTGCTTCAGCCTTTGGAGGAGCTAGGGTCATAGGTGTATACCACTAGGTCCAACTTTCCATGAATGCCTATACACAATACACTTGGTATCTCTATTTTTAGTAGCCATATGCATCCCATATATATGCATATATTATTTTTAGTACCTAATAATTTTTAAGGTAGGTCTTGGAAAGGTTTTTAAAAAATATATTATTTTATGTGAGTGTGTGCCCATGTTGTACAATGCCCACGGAAGTCAAAAGAGGGCATTGAATTCCCCTGGAACTGAAGTTAGCGGAGGGTTGCTAGCCACCATGTCGGTGCTGGGCATTGAACTTGGGTCCTCTGCAAGAGCAGCCAGTGCTCTTAGCCACTGAGCCATCTCTCATCTTTCTCATCTTTCCCCTAATAATTCCTTGATAATTTACCAGAGGTAAAATTGCAATCTTAGAATTGTCAAATTACTTTCTATTTTTTTTACCAGCATGTATTCTATATATGTTTCATGATTTCTATTTGTTACAAAAACATTTTCCTTTCTGTCTTCTGTGTTGTACAGTACTAACTAGAAATGTCTTAAGCATGCTGAATTCCACTCACTTTTCTGGCTTTAGCCCATTTTCCCTCAACTATTAGTCATTTTCCATCTTTTAAAATTTCTTTAGAAATTTTATAGACCTTTCACAGTCTCTGGGTTGCTGAATTAATTGCACATACTGTCCTTTAATTTGCTAATATTTTAGTGTATGTGTATATATATATATATTATATATCCACTATCTACATCTGTGTCAATATTTATATTCTTTGTCCACTGTCCCAGACACACAGTGAAGGTCCAAAAAGACTTTATTTCAGTGTACCAAGGTAAGCAACGAACTTCATCATGTTTGCTTTACAGAAAACCACACCCATTCGCTCCCAAGCTGACCTGAAGAAATTGCCCTTAGAAGTGACCACCAGACCTTCCACTGAGGTAAAGCCCAGGGATGTAAAGGAGGCTGGGCTCTTGTAGTATCTTAAGCTAGGATCAATGTGTTCATTCTCTGGGTTTTTTTTTTTTTTTTAGGAACCTGTGCGGAGACCTCAGCGTCCTCGGTCACCCCCTTTACCTGCAGTGATCAAGAATGCCCCTAGCAGACCCCCTTCCATGCACGCTCCCAGACCAACTAGCCAACTCCGAAAGGCTTCTGCTATCAGCAGTGCCCCTAAACCTCCTCTGGCAGCCCGAGGAGAAGCCAGTACCTCCAGGCTGCTTCAGCTATCTGAGATACCCCGAAAGCCTGTAAATCCTCCTAGCAAGACTCCACCCCATCCCACCCCTCCTGTGCAGTCTCTACCATCTGAACCCCTCAACTCTAAGAACCTTCGGGAGGTTCCTGCCCCCAAGGCCATCAAGACTTCAGTGGTCAAGAAGCCAGAGCTGCCTGTTAAACACTCCATGGTTAGATGCTTTGCTTCCTCCAGATTCAGCTCATTAGCTGTGCTGTAGGAATAGAATCTGGCTGTATCAAAGTTGTACTGGGAGAACCTGGGAAGATCACTGAATCTAAAGCTTTTAGATGTCTCTAAGGAGGAGGAACCTAGATAGCTGAAGAGACATGCTCAGAGGTACAGAGTAAGTTAGTTCTCTACCTGGGAAGCTCTTCATTGCTCCCTTGAGCAAACGAGTCACCACCTTCATCTTCTCACAGTGTGGACATAGGTTGGTAGCTTGGTGACAGATGGCTTTAGTAGGCTCTTGCAGTGGTCACTGTGTGAAGGCATCCTCAGCTAAGCAGTTTAAATGAGCTGAGAGGCTTCTCCTGTGATAGCTATTGTCAAAAGTCCTGTCCTTGTGGTATAAGGTCCAGGTGGCTTATGTGTGTACTTGGTAATTTCAGGCAGGGATGGACATAAACCTGTTTGATTAGCTCCTTGAGGCTATACGAAATCTTCTGCATCTTGAGGGCTGAATGGGCCCCACTCATGCTTCTGCTCTTCTCTAGGCAACCTCTGGTCGGAAGCGGAGTCTTGTGGCCTCTGATGATGAAGAGGCTGAAGAAGAGGCTGAGAGGAGGAAGGAGAAGTGCAAACGGGGCAAGTTTGCTGTGAAGGAGGAAAAGAAGGAAGCAAATGAGGTAAGTGGTCAATTAGAAGTTCTCGGACTTGACTCCCTAGGGTAGTCATTGTGTTCCTGTCCCGAGGCTTCAGTCTAGTTGATTTCTCAAGGTCTCTAACCCAGATGATTAGAAATATGGAACCAGTTTTGAGTGAGACTGGCTTTAGTTACAGGCCAATATAGCACTGGTGCACACCTAGGGGCCTGAAATCACTTTGTTTCCTCATGTCTGTGACATGTGTCCCTTGCCTTCTATTCTGTTTATAAAGATGGTTGATACCTGGGGCAGTGATTGTAGAAAGTGATTACACTGCAGCATAAGAAGTGGAAGTTACAGCTGATGACCATGGGTGGCCAGTAACACAGAAGTTTACCTTTAGGGATCACTGAGGCTACCTCTAATAGACTGTTTTCCTTGTAGCTCTCGGACAGTGCTGGAGAAGAGGACCCAGCTGAACTCAAGAAGGCTCAGAAAGGTAAGTTTGGGGAGGTTCCTTGTCAGCCTTCATCATTAGCAGCTTATTCTAAAAGGCTTAAGAAATCTTCCTGAAGCTTGGGCTATGTGCAATAGTTGGTCCAAGTCTGTAACTGTAGCCAAATTCTGAAGATAGCTATTCCTTATATTTTATTTGTGGTGCTAGAGATTGACCTCAGAGCTAAGATAACATGGGTTATCTGACCCATGTTCCCAGCTCACTTTTTATGGAAAGAGTGAATGAGAATGTATATGTGTACTGTTTTGAGGCAGTCTCTCATTGTAGCTCAAGTTGGTCTTGAATTTGTAATCCTCTGGCCTACTCTTGCAAGTGCTAGAATCAAAAGCATGAACTACCATGCCTGGCTTGTATATTTGAGCACTAATTCTTTGGTGTTTGCCCTTGCCTTCTGCTTCCTGGCAGCTTCATGACAAGCTTCAGATGGAGCAGGAATCAGGGTGGCTGGACTTCAGGTCCCTGGTATAGTTGGGAAAGCATTAGGAGCTGCAAGCCATGGGGACTGCCTTTTGCAAAGGTAGCCATGGCTAATCTGGGAGCACCGAAATAGTTCTCCAGTTCTCACTTGTGTCTGAATTCTCAGATAAAGGGCTGCATGTGGAGGTACGTGTGAACAGGGAGTGGTACACAGGACGTGTCACTGCTGTGGAGATGGGCAAGAATGTAGTGCGGTGGAAGGTGAAGTTTGACTACGTGCCCACAGACACAACACCAAGAGACCGCTGGTAATGCCCTCTTTTGAGAGATTGTAATAACAAAAGTCAGCAGCCTGATAGCCCAGGATGGACATTACAAGCTCTATGTCCCCTATAGGGTGGAGAAGGGTAGTGAAGATGTACGGCTGATGAAGCCGCCTTCTCCAGAGTATCAGAGCCCTGACACACAGCAAGAAGGTGGGGAGGAAGAAGAAGCTGTGGTGGCCCAGCAGGCTGTGGACTTGCCAGAGCCTTCCACCTCTGACTGTCTCCGAATTGAGCCTGACACCACTGCCCCAAGCACCAACCATGAGACCATAGACCTGTTGGTTCAGATTCTCCGGTATGTGTTTTTGTCTTCCTGTTTCTTTTTGTCTCCCTACTTAGGGGTAACAGAAGGTCTGTACCTTTCCCATGTTTTCTGAGTTCTTGTCCCTACCTTCTTTCCTACTTAGGAATTGCTTACGGTATTTCCTGCCTCCCAGTTTCCCTATCTCCAAGAAGGAGCTGAGTACTATGAATTCAGAAGAACTAATATCTTTTCCTCTGGTAAGTCTGGCTTAACCTTTGGTTTTCCTACTCTGTCCCCCACCCATGCTTCTTGTGATTGTTCTTATGATTTCTAGTTGTGTGCTCCATTTTGCCAGCTTCCCTTCTTACAAAGAAAAAGTGATTTGAATAGATAGGACAGGTGTGCAGAAAGCCAGCCCCACATAGTCCTAAGATAGCTCCTTTAGAGACAGCAGACCTGGTTTGACATCTTAGAATAAGTGTATCCCTTTTCCTTTATCCTAGCAGAGGGAGTAAACCTGTCTCAGGTAGTGTTAATGAGACTGGGCTCACTGTTTCTAAAATTTGAGACTGGGAGAGGTTGAGAGAAGCTGGTGGTATGTAAATGAGCATAGGGCTCATGTAGATACTCCAGTAGATGTTGATCTGTTACCTCCAGCAGACCTCTGTGGATCTTATAGTAAACAGCTAAAGAGTCCTGCCTCTGCTGTCTTAAGATTTGCTAGAGATGGAGTTGCTATCAGGTATCTTGACATGAGGCTGAGAGCATGGAATGTTATGGTAGGGGCCAGAGGGCCTTGGCAGCTAGGGTAAAGAGAAAAAATAACTCATTCCAAAGGATACCAGAGCTGCCTTTGAAGTGGAGGTTTTGTGAGCAGAGACTCCAAGACCAAAAGGGCAGGGGTATTTCAGGGCAGCAAATTGTTAGGTTCACTTCTGTGTAGGAAATAGAGGGTAGGCAAAGGTTTGAGCTGAAGGAATTGTCAATTGGAACCATGTCCAGGGCCAGTTAGCAAATAATTATGGGTAAATACTCAGCTCTGAAACTATATGAAAGTAGCCAGAGGTTTAAGTCCATCAAGGAATAGATATGGCTGTGTTCCAGTCATATTTAAAGCTTTAGGCAGCAAGCTGATTAGGTGTGCTACCCTGGCTTTAAGTGGTGATCTTTGGTTGCAATGTGTTTGAGTAGGATAGATGAGTGGGAAACAAGAGGACAGGGAAGCTAGTGCAATTGTAAAAGATCAGAAGTGAGAGGATGGGACTGGGACCCAGGCTGAAGTGGGCCAGTGAGTGAAAAGGCTAACATAGGTTGTTGACAGACCTCCCATTGGCTGGCAGATGACAGGAGGAGGCAGAGTCCACATGTTTTCCTGTGGGAAATTGGAGGTTAACTAGGAAAGAAAACAGCTGAGCCATGTGTCTGTTGTGCAGTGAGAGGTAGAGATTAGGAAGGTTGGGGCTTAGAGGTGGGGGTTTCAGAGTCATCCCCAGCAGCTCTGAAGTTCATATTGTAGTGTAGGACTAGCTCAGTTTTTTATGGAGGTGTTTCTAGGAAAGGGAAAGACTAGAATGAAGAGTGGAGGACTAATCTAAGATAGTGGATCTTCATGAGGCAGCTGTGTGCTAGGTACAGTTTGCTAGAAAGAAAAAATCATTGATATTCCTGTGAAATGAGAGGGCATAATGCTTGGTGAGGAGTTAGCAGGTGGCAGGACTTGTGGTAGAAAGCCCCAGGCTTTAGCTTTTGCCCTTGTTTAGACTAGAACTCTCCAGAGATGCTAGGAAAACAACAGCCAATAGGATGGCTAGGTTTGGCTGGCATCTTGCATTTAGATTTGTTGCTTTTGGCTTAAAATTATTGCCAAACTCAGAGCAAAAGACTGGGTATAGTAGGACCTCTGCAATGGGCACTGCTGCTGAGTCCACAGTCATGTGAGTATCTGAGTCTAAAATTAGTATCCAGCTTATTTTTTAAAAGGAGTTACTAGTACCAGGGTACAACTTCAATCTGGTCGTAATTTCTAAAATCAAAATCTAAGTTCATTATGCCTTTATCAGTTTGTAAATGACAGTCTTCTTTCCTGTCATGCCAGAGCAGGCTTCCGTAGACTTTTAGAGGGATTCTGTAGATACTGTTTGTAACAGTTGCCTATGCTTCTACAGTAAGTTCAAAATTAAAAGTTTAAAGAAGGAACAGGACATTGTATACTGAACTTTATTACCTTGCATCTGGCTTGAAATTTATCTTGTGCTGCCAAGTGGTGTGTGTGTGTGTGTGTGTGTGTGTGTGTGTAGAACAGTAGAACTCGTACAGCAGTTTTTCTTGTCATCTTAGTGTCAAGATGTACGAGATCATAATCTAGATTGTAAGGTAAATATCACAATTAAACACTTGCCACTAGCAGTTTTAAAATATCAGTCAGAAGTCTCTCAGTGTAACGCATGTATCTTCATAGAAGTTGGTCAGACTGCAAGTGGCCAGTCAGAACCTATGGTTGTTTTTATCCATGAAAATGGCTTCTTCGTTCTCAGTAGTGACTAAATCATATTGAGATACTACTTAAATTTTAACACTGCCTTTTTGAAATTTGAAATGTCACCTGCCTAGAAAAACTAAAACTACTCCACCCCTTGGTGGTTTCATATCCCCAGGGGAGGTGTAAAAGGCTCTGATGCTGAACAGCTGTCTACTGTACAAATCTGGGGATAGTTGCTGTTGGTAGGTACTTTGGTCCTAACACTGTTGACTTAAAAGTCTGAATAAAGTTAGAATAGTGTGATTGAGTTGCAGGAGTGGTCCCATCTAAAAAGTTAAGACTTGTATTTCAGTTTAGTCACTACTTGCTGAGACATTGTGTCCTCATCCTCATGGCAGCCCTGAACCACAGGCACTAAGATGTCTTTGCATTAGAAAGACAGCTTTCTCCTTGTACTGAGATATTCTTTCAAAGGAAGCCTCCTGTATCTAGAAAGGCCCTGGAAACTCAGGGCCCTCTTGGGACCTCAGGGCCCTCCACCCCCTACTATGTTTTCTTCTACAGAAAGAGTACTTCAAGCAATATGAAGTGGGCCTCCAGAATCTCTGCCATTCCTACCAAAGCCGTGCGGACTCTCGTGCCAAGGCCTCAGAGGAGAGCCTACGCACCTCTGAGAAAAAACTCCATGAGACAGAGGAGAAGTTACAGAAGCTGAGGACCAACATTGTAGCACTCCTGCAAAAGGTGCAGGAGGTGAGCCTGGCAGCCCTCTCATAGAAGCTAGACCAGCTGGTCTCAGGGAGGGGTCTGGGCTCTTCCTACCCCCTTCTCATAGGACTCTGTCCACTCAGGAATCTATGTTTCCAACCCTGACTGCTCACCATCCTGACCAAAGGGCTTGTGGTGGTGTAGCTGCCTGGGCCTCATCCCAGCCAGACCCCACTACTGAACTGATTTTGTCCCTTGTTTACTATTCATATGTACAACTTGCTTTTGAGAACCCTCCAAGCCATAAAACAAAATTCTTGCTTTTCCAAATGATATCCCAGGTGGGACTGAGTAGTCCAGCAGTAGTGGGGAGTACCCCTTAGAGATTGGGTTTGTCCTTCCTCTAGATAGTAGACACTTGTGGGCCTGATCTCAGCCTGTCCCAGGGCCTTGGGGATAACAAGTCAGGTCAGAGACGGTCTCTGTTCTGACATCTCAGTCAGGTGGAGGAGCTATTAATGGAGGTGGTGCTGTGACGTTTCTACCGAAAGCTGGGGGAAGGCCAGAGTGTTCAGGGCGGACTCTGAGACAGTATTGGAGCTAAGATTGGAAGCTGACTATGCCAAGACACAATTGCTTTGGGCAGAGGGAAGATGAGAACTCAGATTGAGTTGTGGGGAGAAGGAGAGCACAACCTGTAGTAAAGTGTGTGCTTTGAGCCTGAGAGGAGTAGGAAGTCACTGGAGGGGTGTGTATAGTCTAGTTTTCAATATAAGACACTGTTAGTTGGAAGAGTTCAGATGAGAATCAGGGAACCCACCCAGTGAGAAAGTTCCCATGCTTTTTTTGAGCATGGACATAGAGTGGTGACAGGATAACTAGGTGCATTCATACTCTAAGGGAAGCACATGAACACATGTCTAAGGCAAGTGAGAAATTAGAAGCAGGACAAGAACAAAAAACCTGGGAGTCTTTTAACCACACAGATGGGGATTGGAGAGTAATCAAGATGGGACAGAAGCCTGACAGCTGGGGAGGAGACACCAGGAGGGGATTCTGGGCTCAGCCCAGGAACTGGGAGAAGGGTAGAGAGGCAAGCCCCCCACCCTGCTTTCCTGCCCTGGCTGACCCCAACCCCACTCTGTTCCAGGATATAGACATCAACACAGATGATGAGCTGGATGCCTACATTGAGGACCTCATCACCAAGGGGGACTGAGGGGCTGGCAGGCAGATCAGCTCCCCTACCCTCTTGTCCCTCAACACAGCAGCTTCTGGGGAGGGGAATTTAATTCGTGAGTTGGTGGACTTAACCTTGGTTTGATTCATGTGGGACATTTGTGCTTTGGGAGGGAGAGTCTGATTCTTCGAATCTTCCTCCCCAAGTTTATAAATATTTATTTTTTAAGAGAAGAAGCTATGCCTGCTGTGAGACCATACTTCTTTTGTGTGACTTGGAAAGGGCAGAACCTTCACACTTTTGCTATACCAGGGTGTGGAGTCTCAGCCATTCAGTTCTTGGACCTAAGATAGGGTACGAAGCAAGCACCATCTTGGAGTTGAAGAGGCTCCAAGGGCAGGGGTGATTTCTCTCTTAGAAAATCAACATGGGATCTGAAGGATGGATGTGGGCAAGGGCTTCCCAGAGCTGTGTGGTCCCAGGGACTCAGACACAGGAGACCCACAAGGGGCTGTGGACAGAGCAGGCTCAGCATCAGAAAGATTCTCCCTGGTCTCTAGTCAGGGCTGTGAGGGTCTGTAGGCCACCTGAGCAGCTGTCTGCATCATCCTACCTGTGGCAGTGGTCCAGACAGTTTAAGAGAATGATTCTTGTTCAAATTCCCCACATGCCACCTAATTTCTTATTGAAGGAACCATTTTGTGGGTCATCCAGATGTAGACAGCTCTGATTGGTTGGATTGCTGGGCTGGATAGCATTCTGAATGTTGAACTCCAAAGGATTCTTCAGGGAAGGTACAGGTGTGTAAAAGCGCTCTCTGGAGGAGGAGGCTTCCTCTCAGTGGTGCTAGTTTCCTGGAGAGCCTTTGCTGTTGCTTTTCTACTTCCTCTACTGGGCCCCAGAGAGCCCCAGAACAGCTTGTGCTCCAGAATAAGAGGGCCAAGGGAGCACATCTGGCCTTCCCTCGCTGTGCAGCCACAATCCCAGAAGCCATGTTCTTCAGACAACTACTCAGTTAAAAAGGCAAGAGCTCTTGAGTTGTATCTGGTGGCCATTGGAAGAATTCAGGTTCCATTTTTCCTAACTCTTCTAACTCCTGTTCAAGATTGCTGAAGACGGAACTATGACTTTGTACCACTGATCTATGATTCAAGCCACCTCAGATGTGTTTCCTCCATCTACTCAAGTTAACAGTGGCTGCCATCCTGTGCCCCATAAGGTCTTCAAAAGATGGGGAAGTGGTAGTGAAGGGCCTTGACTACAGGATTCCAAAGTCCCCACCTGTGCACATGTGGTTAGAAGCACCTGTTGGGATCTGGGCTTCCCCAGACGACATTCCTGATGAATGTTTTCCGTGGGGGGGGGGGGGGGGGGAAACCT